GCAATGCGCACAAGCCCCCCATGCCTCCTGCGCATGCGCATGCAAACCGTGTGACCCACGCTTCTGCACATGCATGCGCATGCAAACCGTGTGACCCACGCTTCTGCACATGCATGCGCAAATCGCACTGCGCACTTCTGCACATGCTCGTGCTACCCCAGGTGCGCCATGTGCTTCTGTGCATGCAGGAGTGTCTCCTGCACACCACCACATCCCTGCACCTGTGCGCCAGATACACGACAATCAGCTGTCCGGCGGGCGGCGCGCATGCATGCACAGTAGACCTTTTCTGGGCGAGTGTTGGCATGCCGGCAGTAATGGCTCTGCGTGCCACTTCTGGTTATAGATTCCACCACGGTTATAGATCATCTAGCCCAAGCAGGGGATCCTTTGCCATTTCTGACAGATGGCAGTCTGTTTTCCTATGTCATTATAGTTGTGCTTTTAAAGTTGTAGCAACATTTCGGCAGAATCTCATCTGCCATCATCAGGCTTCTGTATTGTGTTCATCCGTGAGTCAGACTTTCACAGCCGTTTCTGTTTTAAATTTGGGGCAGCCTATTGCTGTGCCAGAATGGTTTTTTCTTCATCCTGATTGGTTGGGAGTCTTGGTCTGTGTTTATTGGTCTTGGAGTTTGCTGTGTTCTGCTTGATTGGTGTTTCTAATATCTTCTGTCTGTTTTATGGCTCTTTTTGTGTCTTGATTGGCTGGCAACATTGTGTTCCTGTATTGGAGGCCTTTAGTGCAGCTTGGCTCCGAGTAAATGGACGGCTATCATTTGTTAAGAAGCTAGGTTTCATCTGGGTGCCTAATTGGGGTGTGTTTGAGCTGGAGGTATCAGGGGGGATCTGTTTGTGCCCAGGTGTTTGCCTGGCTTGTGGTGTGGAGATTTTTTTTTTTTGCTTGTGAGTGCAGGCTTCCAAATAATTGACAGTCTGGTGGAATCATCTCTTCTATATATGGCTAGATATCCATGAACTGCTCACAAGAAAAGCCAAGCAAATATAGAATGAAATAAAACCAGAACTCCACACCTATCCAGCCTTCTTGTGGTTTCGGCTGTTGGATCAGCAGCTGCCCTTTCTCTCCCCCACTCCCCACCAAGCCATATGGGAACCTATTTTTGTAATGTTGGTGTCCTGGGGATCCAGGACGGCCTGGCCTAGGCTGGGTCTGCTCTTGAGGGGTCAAAATGATTTGCCATTGGGTTTTCCAAATTTCACATTTTTAAGTTGAGAGCAGTGCAGGTCAACTTCCTGTTTTCCATCCAGGGATAACATTAAGTACAATAATAGAATAACAGTAGCACTTAGACTTATATACCGGTTCACAGTGCCTTTACGGCCCTCTCTAAGCGGTTTACAGAGTCAGCCTCTATTACCCCCAACAATCTGGGTCCTCATTTTACCCACCTTGGAAAGATGGAAGGCTGAGTCGACCTGGAGCCTGGTGAGATTTGAACTGCCAAATTGCAGCCAGCCGGCAGTCAACAGGAATAGCCTGTGGTACTGGACTCTAACCACTGCTCCATCACGACTCAAGAAGTGTTGGGGTCCATCATCAGTGCATCTTATAGACATTTCATGGCCCAGCTAGGTAACATCATCAGTGCTGAAAGGGAGTGGGGTTTGCAGAGAAGAAGGGGGAGGAGAAGGGGGGAGAAGAAGAGAGGGGAAGAGGAAGAGGGGAAGAAGAAAGGAGAAGAGGAAGAAGGAGAAGAAAGGAGGAGGAGGAGGAGGGGGGGGAAGGGGAAGGGGGGAGGAGGAGGACTGTGAATGCTGTCTGAGTTCGGTTTTCTTTTTGACATTTCACAACCCAACTAGGTAACATCATCAATCTAGGAAGGGAGTAGGGTTTACAGAGTACAGGAGAAGGAGGAGGATTGTGGGATCCTTGAAGACAGTGGGGTTTGCAAGGGAGGAGGAGGTCCTTGGTATTCTCTGAGCTTCATGGTTTTCTTGCCAACATTTCATGTCCCAACTAGGTAGCATCATCAATGCTAGAAGGGAGTGAGGTTTGCCAGAGCACTGATGGTGTTCCCTAATTGGGTCATAAAATGTCTCTAAGGAAACAACCAAGCTGAGACAGCACCAAAGACCCCACACAGTTCATCCCTGAGCTACAAATACTCTATTAATAACGGAACTCATTACTAATTACCACAGCGAGAACATTTATAGCTTAAGGTAGAAGTGCACCAAGGACCTCACAGTAATAGAACTTTGTTTCAAGATTCCTATTGGGTTTTCCCCAAATTGGGCGAGACTTCTATCAATCACTGGTTTGTAGAAAGAATTGGAAGAGGGTTACTTACAGGAGGCCGTTGCAGCCGAAAATGGAGCTCAGGAGCCTGTTTTCTCTGGCCGAAGGCTCGGGCCACCACAGGCATCCCTGACACGAGTGATGTCGAGCTGACCACACCCACTCTGGCCATGCCCACTCTGGCCCTCTGAGGTAAAATACAATCCTGATGCGGCCTTTGACACCCCTGGTGTAGGGTTTCCTGCCTGAGCAGGGGGGTTGGACTAGAAGATCTCCAAGGTCCTTTCCAACTCTGTTGTTTTAACTGGGTATCCAATCTCTTCTTTAAAAAAAAAAAAAAAACAGTGTTGGCGCCTCCGCAATTTCTGGAGGCAAGTCGTTCCGCTGATTATTCGTGTTATTGGAGAAAATGCAGGTAGTCCTCGACTTACGACCCCAATTGAGTCCAACATTGCTAAGCAACCTAGTTGTTAAGTGAGTCTTGCCCTGTTTTACAATTTTTCTTGCCGGAAAATCAGGAAGCAGGTCATTGGAAGGACTCTTCCCCCCCCCCGCACCCCCCCGTCACCCTTGACCCTTTCTGCAAGTCAAACATCTGGAATATTCAGCAAGAGGGAACAAATAATTTGTCCCAGGCTTGCCCCAAAACACGTTGTGGTGACCTCATGAGTGACTCTTGGACAGACATTTGGGAGTCATCATCCCCAGGGTTAAACTGGCTGAGCAAAAAAATAAAAAAAATTCTCATGTAAGGTAGGGATAGAAGAGTGAGTCACGCAGTCACGCTTTCTTGTTGGCTGTGCTTTTATTGCATTTTATTCTTCTTCCTCCTCTTTTACCTCCCCGAACTGTACTTTAGGAAGGGAAGGTAGCTTTGGCCACTGGCCAGGGCCTCCCCACCGCCCCCGCAGTGCTGCCAGGACAAACTCTGAGTCATGAGGGACAGAGGTGGGAAGGGGGAAGGGGAAACTCTAGAAAAAGACAGCTCTCCAGAGGTCTTAGCACAATTCTACCTTGTAATTAATGAAAAGGAACCGAAACGCCTTTTGTATTGTGGTCGGACTACAGGGAATTGTTTTGGAGTATTATGGGAATTGGAGTCCCAATGCTGAGGGCACTCTAGGTTAGAGCATAGGGTTATAACAAGAACTTACTGTTTGTTTATTAAGAGTCCCCGGTGCTTTCTGAGCACGATTGTTTTCTTACAGACACATCATGACCCAACTAGGTAACATCATCAGTGCTAGAAGGGGAGCGTGGTTTGCTCTCAAGTTTATATTCTAGCGTCTTGCCCTGTCAGTTTTGGTGACGGTGGTCTTAAGAGATTCTTTGGCTGGGCTGTTTGCTGTTGGCTTCTTTGGCAGTTTTATGTTTGGGGTATTGTTTACTTGATGGTTGGCCTGATGTTAACCTTGGAGTAAATCTATGCTGATCTGGGTGCTGACTGCTGGTGGAGAGGTAGTCGGGGTCTTTTAATTCCCTTTTTGGCTACTGGATTGTCTCTTTTGCAGAACAATAGCGCTTAAGACTTATATACCGCTTCACAGTGCTTTACAGCTCTCTCTAAGCCATTTTACAGAGTCAGCCATCTTGCCCCCAACAATCTGGGTCCTCGTTTTACTGGCCTTGGAAGGATGGAAGGCTGAGTCAACCTTGAGCCCGGTGAGGATCGAACTGCTGTCAGTCGACAGAATTAGCCTGCCGTACTGTTTTCTAATGAGCCATGGTGGCACAGTGGTTCGAGTGCAGTACTGCAGGCTACTTCTGCTGATTGCTGACTGACTGCAATTTGCCGGTTCCAATCTCACCGGATTCAAGGTTGACTCAGCCTTGCATCCTTCCGAGGTTGGTAAAACGAGGACCTAAATTGTTGGGGGCAATAGGCTGACTCTGTAAACCTCTTAGAGAGGGCTGTAAAGCACTGTAAAGCAGTATATAAGTCTAATTGCTATTGCTTAACACTGCGTCATGCCCCTGGTGGAGACTGGCTCTGAGTCAGAGGAGGAACAGCCGACAAGGAATGGAAGTGTGGCTCCAGGGTTTGTGGAGGAGGCTGGGGAAGGGCAGAGGCCGGCTGGGCAGTTAGAGGAGGACCCAGGCCCATCCCCTCTCCATCCTAGAGCACACAGGGAGGAGAGGATAAGGGAGAGACATGGTCTACTCAGGAGGAGAGGGCCTTGATCCTCTTCATGGGCTGCAGCTGTGACAACTGGATAAGTGGACAGACATGCGTATGGGCAAGTGCTGGAAACAAAGCGTGGAAATATCTCTAGTTTATTGTTCCTCTCTGAGTTTGGCGTCCTTCCCAGTGTGTGTTCTGTTATCTATGAATGTCCTCCAGCCCTTATCTTGCCTGGTTTGTGTTGTTTTTTCCCTCCTTCTTGTAACTGCTTGTGTGGGAGTTTTTTGTCTCCAGTCAAGGATATTTGGAGCTTGGAAGCAAAGTGAAGGAATAAAAGGGCCTCAACCGGGTTTTTGTGACTTTGTTTTGTATCCCCACCCTAGCTCATCACACACTGTGCCACCACACAGCCATATATGGCTAGTCTATGGATGCTGTTAATAACTATTGATGATGTTAACCTAGTTGGGTAATGAAACGTCTGCAAGAAAACAGGCAAGCTCCGAGATCACCAAGGACCCCCGATCTACAAATATTCTCCTTTATTGTTTGTTTGTGTCAAATGAAATGAATTGCCACCAATCGTCTTCCTTCCCCTCTTCTTCCCCTCTGCAGGGTCCACATATAGCATCGGTGACGCTCGCGGCTTATGAATGTAACTCAGTGAATTTTCCCGAGCCGCCCTACCCGGACCAGATTATCTGCCCCGAGAAAGAGGGAGTGGTAGGATCCATTTCGTTATGGACCATCATGTCCAAAGTCAGGCTGGAAGCCTGCATGTGGGTAAGACTGGCATAAATCCTGGCATAAATTACTTGTTCTATAGCAGGGATCTCGATACTTGGCAACGCTAAGACTGGTGGACTTCAACTCCCAGAATTCCTCAGCCAGCATAGTTGAAGTCCACCAGTCTTAACGTTGCCAAGTATCGAGATCCCTATGTAGTGGTGGCAGGCTGCCGGTTCGCACCGGTTCTAGCGATCCGGTAGCGCCAGTCAGCAGTTGGCTCCGCCCTTTCCTGTCCTATATTTCCTTTCTTTGTAGCTCAGCTGATAGGCGTGGCAAAGAAGATTGTCACGCCTCAGCTGTTTTACTCACTAGCGCTTGATGATAAGGTAAGTTTTCATGCTTAAAATTGCCCATTTTAGAATGCTCTGAACTCCTTCTCCTTTATTGTTTGTTTATGCGTGCGAGAAGCGCGCAGCCACAGAACCAGTAGTAGAATATTTTTAATTCCACCACTGTCCCTGTGCTATAGAATTTGCTTAAATTGAGTTGATGGTTGTGGTCAGCGTGGTCATAAAAATGGTTCCTGAATGTCAGGCTTCAAAAACAAAACAAAACACACACTAAGTGTCAGGGTTCTGGCATCCACTTCCATTTAAATCGTGATCTCTAGCCGCATCTCAAAAGTTAAAGAAGATTTATTAGGAGTGAGCATTCGGGTGCTACCTGGCTGTAGCCAACTCTGAGACACATCATTCATTTCACCCTTGACCCTGGTCTTCCACTCCCTTGATGTATATTCTCCAATGGGACACATCCATAGCCAAGAGTCATCCATCATGCTCTCCAGTAATAATCTTGTGCGGCAGAAGCTTCGGTTGCCTAGAAATTACCTATGAAAGCATTTAAGGAATGTACTCCTTCCCCCACTCCCTTTCTGCTGGCAACTGTAAAAGATCAGAGAAATATTTTTGAGTTGACCCTGAGATTCTTCCGAACAGATTCCTTTATTGTTTCTTACCTGTGGACAGAAATCTTAGTGAATTAAAGCAGACTCGCTACACCACAAAACATATACAATAGAATCTCTGGTCACAAATGCTTCCGATCATGACTAAATCGGGTTCTGACCAAAACATTGATAACTTTTTGAATCTGGTCACAAACACGTACTCGGGTGGCGATCAAACACGACTGCATCCGATTTCCCCTTCCGCACCATTTTTTTTTTGGTAAGCGCATGCTCAGTCAGTCTCGCTTCCGGTTACGACCAAATTGGGTTGCGACTGAAGTTACGGAAGGAATGACAGTTGTGACCACAGGTTCTACTGTATAGGTTTTCCTCAAAGTGTGACCACCATTGAGCTTAAAATTTCTGTTGCTAACCAAGCCACTCGGATTTCTTCAATGTGTTTATTTTCTTTTTGTCAGCAAAAATAAAATGCAAAACGTGCAGAAGAAACATCCAACACTTAACTTGTTGGAAGCAAGACAGTTGAGAAGTGAGTTTCACCCCAACCACATTTGTCATGTGAATCACTGCAGTTATGATGTTAGTAACACGGTTGTTAAGTGATTGGGGCTCCCCCGTTGATTTTGCTTGTCGGAAAGTCGCAAAACGTAATCATGTGTACACTATCATAAATACATGCCAAATGTCAAACATTTAAAATTCGATCACATGACCACGGGGATGTTGCAGTGGTTATAAGTCTGAAAACTGGCCATAAGGCACTTTTTTGGTGTTGTTGTTACTTCAAATGGCCACTTAAATGGGTGTAAGTGAAGGACTACCTGTACTCTGGGAACTATTAGGGAGGAGCTATCTTCACCCTCTTTCTCTCACAGATACTATCTGAACTGTGTGTCTATGGAGATTCTTAGTCATCCAGGTCATGGTTATTCCAAAGGTGCTTTCTTCAAGAGGCAACTGGGCTTTCTTAGTTTTTCCCTGAAGATGTTTCACTTCTCATACAAGCCAAAGAACTGAAGAAGCTCCTGGGATAAGAAATGATCATCCAAGAAGCCGAAAACTGAAGAAACTC